GTGTGTGTGTGTGTGTGTGTGTGTGTGTGTGTGTGTGTGTGTGTGTGTGTGTGTTTTACCTTCGCTGGGGGATCGAACCTTTGTGAGCTCGATCTGTTTTCAAGCAGCGAGAGAAACAAAAACAGAAAACCGCACCTGTCAATCACATGGTGACGTGCCGCTCACGTTGATCCGTTGTGTGGTTTCGTGTTGACGTGGACATGATCGTGAGTCTGTAAAATGAGGAGATGACAGAAGAGGAAGGCTCAACATTTACATTCTTCAGCATCACGGGCTGAGCGGCCGGGGAAAGAGACGGCCTCTCATTGGCTGGGTGGCGGTGACGTACACAGGAAGCCGCCTCTCACCTCCTGAGATGCATTAAATACAATTAGCTGATAACTTGAAGCGGATACTTTAGCTGTATCCATTTTGACCACTAGGTGTCACTCTTACAAAGTAAAAAAAAATCACATCTCTAGCACAGCTACCTTATATGATCATGTATATGTTGATTCACCATGATTCATCAATTAATTTGGATGAATTAAATTAATACAAATAATATGGCAGGTTTTAATTCGATGGATGATTCCATTCCACAACTTGATATCTTAAATAAAAGGGTTAAAAAGGTGTAAAATGGCCCTGGCTCCTCAGGAGAAATGGTCATTTAAAATGAAATCATTTACAATCTTGACTGAGGCTGTCTCTGTACTTTGATTGGTCCAAAAACTGGATAGATTTTTAAAAAATATTATCAGTGCCCATAAAATAATTTAACCAGTTAAACACAAGCATCTCTAAAATCTTACTTAATGAAACAGATCTGAGTGATGATGCATACCTCTACATAGAAGAGGATTAGGGCCACTGAATTCAACCCAGAGTCAGAATTCTGAGATTTCAGCCTGTAGATACGGGAGTCCGGAACTCACTTTTTTCCCACACTGGCCCTAAACCTCTTCCGTATCTACAGGATGTGTGTATGACTTACATTATATTCAGGTCAATTTTATTTGCATAGCACCAAATCGTAATATATTTTATCTCTTTTACACGACCTTAAAAATTATAGAGAACCCCAACAGCTCCCACAATGAGCGAACACTTTGGTGACAAAACATATTATTCAAATTATATATATTTGCTCGAATAGTTCTGTCGTTTCTGAAGTTTGCTTGAATTGTTGTAAATGGTCAGAAGTTCATGTAAGTTTTGATAAGAATAAGCTATTGGAAGATCACACAATAGAGCACAGATACGGAAATAATAAACATGCTGCTGATTGGTTTAATAAAACATTAAAACGATTAAATGATCTTAAGGTTTCAAATTCAATGGCACCTGCGGCTGTATCCTGACTAAATTATCTTTCTGAACTGGTAGAACAAGTCAAACCACACTAGCAATGTATTGACTTTATATACTAAACAGGACTCGGCCATGCTGTTAAGCAGGTCTCAGCTTGTGTCGGCAGAGGAGTGGCACTCCGCCTCTCTCACTGTTAGTGCCTCGTTTGGCTTCAAGGAACACGGATTATTAATTCTTCAACAACAACAGTAAGAATCCTGCTTTATCTCACTTCTGTCTCTCTTTTTTCCACTTCTATGAAGTTTCATCATATTTTACTGGAGGAGTCCGTGTTGGAATTGGTTCTTAAGACGCGTGCGCACTTTTTTTGGACTAAATATCTATCTGTCAAGTGTCTGAGCAGGGGCGGAACCAGTTTGGAGAAGCTACAAAAAAGTCAGTTTTGCAGAGCGTTGTGACAAAATACATGTATATTCTTACATGTATTTTGTCACAACGCTCTGCATGTTGTAAATAGTCTCGTCATATGACATGACGCAACTGGTAATATGATAAAACAGAGGAGAGGTTGCTGGCACTCTAAAGCGACCTGTACCTTAAATGCAGGTGGGACATTTTGTTTAATACTTTCTAGAGCAAACAAAAATAAGCAGTGAAATTTAGAATACAAAAGTACAGCAGTGAATGAAATTAATCTGTCCCTGTAGTTATTATAAATCATCATCTTACAGATAATAACTTAATTTTTGTAGCACTTATCTAAACAAGGTTAACAAGTGCTTCACAAAATACATGGTAAAAAAAAATAGAAATAACACTGCGGCTAAAGCTAAATCTGACTGACTACTGGCTTGTATTGCAGTGCTATAAATACATGGCCTGCTCAGAAGATCAAACATTACCTCTATGCCTTTTTAAACCAAACACATACTGTCATAGGCAACAGAGTAAAAAGCTACCCCATTTAAAGTTACAGTGTGTTGAATTTTGTGATATCTAGTGTTGAAATTGCATGTTGCAGCTGAACACCCCTCACCTCACCCTCTCCTTCCAAACATGAAAAATAAACTGTGGTAGCCTTTAATTGTCATACAAACTCAAAAGGTGTTTAGTTTGTCCAGTCTGGACTAATGTAAAAAACATGTTAAAAACATGGCGGCCTCCGTAGAGAGGGTCCCCTCGATGTAAATATAAAGTATTTGAATATAAAGGGACTTTTCTGGTGTAAAGAAAACTACAATTCATACAATTTAGATGAAACGAACTCGTGAAATTAAATTAAATTTCAGCCAATAGTTGTTAATTTTCAATTCAGCCTCCATCTTCTTGTGCTGTTGTTCATCCCTTTGTAGTTGTGGATTCTTTGTTGTAACTGACTGGCGCCATTATATTTTGCGTGCAGCTCTGATTTGCACATTGCTTGTTTCCTCTTGTGAAGCAGGTGTTGGGTCCTCAACCCTCCCCTGATTTCTATTGTGCAGACTTCTCTCTGTGGTTTGTGGCTTCACTGTTGTTGACTTCCATTGATCTGCATTTTGTATTGTTCCTCACCTCACCAAATGTTGAAGTAGGAAAGAGTAACACATAGCAGAGCCTGTACTGTACCATTTTGTTTTTTAAAGCCCTGGGATTGGAAATAAAAAAGTGTGAAATTCCCAAGTGTTTTTGAAGGAAGGCTACTAACTTACATTTCTGCACCAATATGCTATAAATATTTTTTCCTAAGAATGCAATGTATATATCTTTGTCTTTCTTTATAACTTTGCCATTATTTGAGGTCTCTTCCTCTAACAATATTTTTGATTATTATGAATAATACAAGATTTGGTGATAACAACAATAATCAAACGTGTGAATTCATGGGGCATAATGCAATCAAACTCAGTTATGTTTAAACCAGCACTGACTGTCTATGCTGTTTGGCCCACATGTGTAACACTTTGGTATTAATCCTCATTCCAGATGCGAAACACCTGCAGGAAGTTTCTTGGACTGATTTTCATTGTCGGTGGGCTGATAGCCTTGTTTCGTACTTTGAGCCATGAAACCAGTTCAGGAGTTGACTTACGACAGAGACACGGAAGTTCAGTTAAGAAACTCCTTGCGGAACAAATTGAAGACATCACCAGTGGCTATGACGACATTTCCTTCCTTATAAAAGACCAAGTGGCACGGTGTGTTAATTATTTGACTGTAATTTTGACTAAATTCTGTTTTTAAATCATATTTTTAATCTTTATCAACTGACTGCCGTTTTCTCTCCACACAGACAACTGACTCAAAACACATGTGTATGTCTGGCTGAAAAGGAGATGTTTCAACTGCCGTTCTCCAATCTGCTTTTCCCGCGCGTGTGGGCCCACAAACTCGATATTGCGTTTTTAGAGTCCCATCCTGACCCTGAGGGTGTAAAGCTTCACAGAGCTCAGGAGTACAGCAAATTGCAGATCAGGTAAGGTTCAGTATAACAAATTAACAGTAGTAAACCCTTAAGTAATCTTCTTGACTGTCAGCTTGGCTCTGCAAAAAGAGATAGTCATGAATAGCTAGGGACTAGTTTCAGTCCATCTTTATCAGTAACCACTCACTTTGTCTCTCACTACACTGACTCTGTGATCTATTTAAAGGCCTCAAGTTGTGTCTGCACAATGGTGCACTTTACTGTTGCCACTGCAGTGTTCACCTGGTTGTATTGGTTTTAGCTATGCCCACATGTAAGCTAAGGTAAGTACTTCAGTGGGGCTGCATGGCGGTTATCATGCAAGGATGCATTGCAGGCTTTTATGTACCCCAAATACTGTGTTTGTCATAAGTAGCACAGGCCCATTGACAATACACTACACTGTCTGTGTGTTCACTGCAGCTCAACCACAGAGCTTCCTAATCTGCTGTTTGTGATATTTGCTATGCAAATTATTATATTTGCCATGAAGGAAACTTCAAATCATCTAGTCCTCGGTTCCATATTTTTAGAGCCTGACCAAAATTGATATTTTGGGGGGCTGCTGCTGATAGTGGGGAGTAAATAATATCAGATGACGTGGCATATTTAAATATAAATGTAATTCGGCAATGATTTCTAAGTTCAAGTTAACACCCAATACAACAAAATATATAGAACTTAAATCAAGAAAATATACTATATTGTGACTATTATACCTTAAAGGTACAGTGTGTAGAATTTCATGATATCTAGTGTTGAAATGGCATGTTGCAGCTGAATACCCCTCACCTCACCCTCTCCTTCCAAACATGAAAAAGAAAACTGCGGTAGCCTTTAATTGTCATGACAACTCAAAAGGTGTTTAGTTTGTCCAGTCTGGACTAATGTAAAAAACATGGTGGCCTCTGTAAAGAGGGTCCTCTCGATGTAAATATAAAGTATTTAAATGTAAAGGGCCTTTTCTGGGGTAAAGAAAACTACAATTCATACAATTAAGATGAAACTAACTATTGAAAACTTCTCAGTTGCTCCAAATCAGTTACAATGATTGATAACTAGATAGATAGATTACTTTATTCATCCCCAAAGGGAAATTAGGTCATCATAGCAGTCCGGTATTTGGATACAATAAAAATACAATAGAATAAGATACTGAGGTAGAAAAAATAAGAATAAAAATAAAAACACAGAATAGGACAAGGACACTTAAAAAACACAAGATAAATAGGTAGATAAGGTGCAGTGGCAAGATGATGGTAATAGTACTGATGATATGATGGTAATGTTATTGTTACTAAACCGTATATAATAATAGTACAGTATATATAGTGTATAATATAATACATAATAATAATAATAATAATATATAATATATATACAATACCAGTATAATAACAGTATATAATAATAATAACAGTATATAGTAATAATGGCAGCAACAGTATATTATAATAATAATAATAATATACACATAGAAATGGGTCATATATTTAGCCTGTGCAAGGTGTGCATATGTACATAACTGCAATATATAATATGTACACATGTATAAATATATGTATATATATAGAAATATATATATACACAGGATATGATATAATATAATATATAGTATAGGTATAATATATGTATATAAATACTTGACTATACATACATAGATAATATACTATGAATATGAATATGCTAGAATGTGCAAAAAGATAAGAATATTGTATGAAAAAATGTATATAATCAATACGGTTAATATACGGTTATTAACACATATCACATATGATATGAAGTAAATGTTCCAGTATTGGAGCAGACTGTTGTACAGGGTACACAGTGCAAAGGTGACAGGTAGATTTAGTGCAGTTTTGTGATGGTGGCTCTTACAGAGGTAGATGAGTTGTAAAGTCTTATTGCGGTTGGGAGGAACGAGTTCCTGTATCGTTCCTTAGAGCAGCGGGGTTGAATGAGTCTGTTGCTGAAGCTGTTCTTTAGCTTGTCCAGTGTTTTGTGGGGGGGGTGAGTGATTGCCAGCCATTTTTGCCAGCATCCTGTTCTCCACCACCTCCTCCAGGGTGACAAGCTTAGAGCCAACCACAGACTCAGCTTATCTGATTCGGTGACTAGCAGCCGGTTTGCCAACATGTGTGTGAGTGTGTGTGTGTGTGTGTGTGTGTGTGTGTGTGTGTGTGTGTGTGTGTAAGTGAATGAATATATTCAAAATGAAAGTAGTGAGATGCGTGCAAAGAGAGTGAACAGCACAACAGAACTAACATTAGCTTTCACATATAACCAAATATCACAACACAAATCAAACTTAGAAACATGACACAGATAGAACAGTCCTTTGCTCAGCCCTAGTGTAATTACAAAGCCCAGTGGTGTAACCCGTCCATGAAAAAGGGGGAAAGGTCCTTTTTGATGTGCTGTTTGAGGTTCAGTTAAGTGGTCTTGTTGGTTTGTTGGCTCCTGTTGTGCATCTGCTGGTCAGACCTTGTTAGTGGCCAATTGCCCATGCTGAAGTTCATAGGCAGGCTCTTAAGTCACTGCCTTTGGAAGGTTTAAGCAGTCTGCTCCAGGCAGGCCTACTAGAAGTTGGAGAGCTTGGGTAGGTAGTCTCCCTGGCTGGGTGAGCAGGAGAAGTACCTACTCCTCCGGGAGAGGTCAGTAGGAAAGAGATAGAGGAGAGGGGAAGCTTTATTGGCCTCGTGACTTCATGGGTCATGGGGCACACAGTGACCAAAAGTGGTTGAGAGTTGTGTCCAGGAGCAGTTTTAACACCTAAACATAAATGCATTAGTGCCCAAATCAGCTCTACAATGATTACCTTTACCTCAAGACTCTAATCATGCAGTGAAATCATATTGATTGTGCAACTACATCTCTGTCTGATATTTTCTTTAAGTAAAGGTCCTACAGTCCTGCAGATGTACCTATTGTAGCCCAGGCCAACAATCCTCTTCAGTATCCTACCCAGGGTGTGGAGGTGCGACCCCTCAAAACAATAATCATTCCTGGTAACAGTATATTTAACATAGCAAAATATCAAAGAAATATGTTGATTAAACACTTCACAAATTATTTATTGAAATCACTAACCACCATCCTGTGTTGATGTCGATAATAATTTCCCTTTTTCCCAAGGGTTGGGCCTTAAAGAAGGAAAGAAATCAAAGCATACGGTAATTTCTTCCTTTTAGGGTTTTCATGTGGGTACATACAGGAATATGAAAGTTTTTGTTTTATTTTTTTATTTAAAATCATTTTACTTGTGCAACAGGTGTCTTTAACTGCAACTCTTGGGACTTTTGATGTTGCTGCTACAGTGGACAGTGTCTCTGTCAAAGGAGAAGGAGAGAAGCACATGATATTGTCTAGTCCTGTTCTCTCCGCTCTGAACAGGCAGCTACAGTTTGTCACCTACAGAAACACTGTTTTCCATCCAAAGACAGCAGATACAGGTGAGGTTATTATGTGAATACTAGTCTAAAAGTTACAGTGTCATTTGTAAATTCTGACTTCATCTTATGCACAGTGTAGCACATAACATTCTTTTGGAACAAATAATCAATGGATTACTGGACATGATGGTAAATAAGCAATGGAGTTCATGAAGTATCAGAGCTTATCTGTAAAGTACACTGCATTTAATTTCTACGAGATGGATGGTAATGGATGGTACGGTAGCCATCCCTGTGACCAACACTACACACTGCAAACAACCAGCCTGAGGAATAGCCAACTTAAGCAACGCCACAAGTCACCATGGCAACACATCTCTGTGTGTTTGAATTGCGAGAATTTGTTTTTATTGTGAGTGTTTGGTTGAGTTGCGATCATTAACTCACCCATGTTAGATGCATTGACTCCTTGGTGGATGTGGGAATATTCATGAACAAAAAGTCCCTATGTGGGTGGAAGTGATAAAGTAGAAGTTAGAAAAGGCATAAAACCTTGAACATTCATGGGCAACTCTCCTTGTCCACGGTAAAAATGAATGTTTGATGACTTAGTGGTATTGGGCATGTCAAACAGTAACTGGCTGTAACTCATCAGCAGAAAAACCGCCCAGTGATTTTTCCCCCCACACACTGTCACACATGGTTTTTGTTTGATAAGTGATTGATAAGAAGCACTAAACCAGGAGCAATATAAGGACTATGGACCCCTTATCTATACATTTCATTTCACCTTGCACAACAAGCGCTCAAAATTATTTTCATTCTCTCTTATTACAATGATAAATGTATTACTTTCACTGTGTTCTGCAGAAACATCACTATATACATTCTGTTTGTTGCCTGATATGGTGAAATTAGGACTGGACACCATATTCACAGTATAGTTTGAACTCGAACAAAGCCATAGTTAGTAGATCATTTGCAGACTATGACTTCCTGCTTCTGACTGCTCTCTGACTCTGCACAGTTAGTGCATTGCTGCCCCCCACTGCTGTAGTTATGCCATTGCTACTTTAGATCTGTGAGTCAAAGGTACAGTCCTACCATGCAAGTATATTCATATCCAAGACTTTTCTATACTTTTATACCATCCCGAAATCATATCATACATTTTCACCTAACATTTTTACTAATATCCTTAAATGCAGAGGTTCTGCATAATTATATATCCACAGGGCAACAGGATTGGGACGAGTGTGCAAATTGGAAACAGTACAACCTCATGACCACTGTTTCTTTGGTTGTTCTTGGTTAGAAGAGTATTTTATTGTGTGTTTAAAGCTCAGTGTTCTTGATTCATATATGTGTGTCTGTGTGTGTGTGTGTGGGGAGGGGGGGGGGTGATGCTGTTGATATGTAAAGAATAACTTTAAGCAGCAATAGTGAGTGTCACAGAGTAATTCAATGACACAGTAAATACACAGAGGCAACAAAGTGATGTTTTAGATCTTCTCCACTCAAATATGAAAAAGTATGACAGGGTTATTTTGCTCTGCAGTTGAATTTGCGACTGAGGGTCACCGCTCATTCTTCACCATTAAAGTTGGACATGGCTCCATCCCTAGACTTTACAACACCGGACACCAAAAAGGTTTGTGATAAATTATATCGCTATCATTTTAATTTGATGGAAAATGTTTGAATGCCACATTGCAACATGTTTATTGATGTAATTTTCTGATTGTTTGTTTCCACTCAGAGTACAATATTAGTGCACTTGTCACCATCGCCACCAAGACCTTTCTACGTTATGACAAACTCAAAGATCTCATCAACAGCATACGTCAGTATTATCCCAACATCACCATAGTGATAGCAGATGATTCTGAACACCCTGAGCCAGTGAAGGGGCCTCACATTGAACATTACATCATGCCATTTGGAAAGGTAAAGAAATTTGAAGTTTGTCTATGGTATCATCATGATTACTGAGCCAAAGACTATGACAGTCAGGTCTTGTTTCTACAGCTTGAGAAAAATAATGTGCTTTAAATGTTTGAATACATCAGCTAAATGTGAATAATGATTTCATATGCTGTGCACCTGCAAAAGCTCAGCATTGTTAGCAACCCATCCATCCATTTTCTGGCACCCAGAGTTGGATCGTGGTGGCAGGTGGGTCGTAGAGACATCCTTCTCATCGGCAACATTTTCAAATTCTTCCAGGAGGAGTGTTCTTTTCATCACCCTGATGATATCCCCACACAGAATCAATACTTCCTCCTCCACAGCCTGTTTCGGCCTGAATCTTCTCTATAGCCCTCGCAAACTCCTCACACTTCCGGATGTTTTGTCCAAAACTGCTGAATCTGCAGCACGTTTGGCCCTCCAGTACCAATCTACTTGTACTAACATAAGATAAGATCTGTAACATAGTGTTACGCATCATTCCTTCACTGTAGATCTTTGTACAGTGGATTGATTTGCTGAGTGCCTCCATGCCCTCCTATCGCTATTTCTTTCTCACAGATATATTGACAATAGATCCATCAGCCATAGTAGTACTGGCCATTGAGAGCAAATCCCACAGCATTGGGTGGATTATCATAAAATCAATAATATTATCACTGACCTTGGCAGGCAGGCAGAGCTCCACGAACACCTGTAGTTTCTGCTTTAGATGTGCATTCTCTAAGGAGAGAGGTGCTCAGTAGCCATTCTCTGACTCCTCTGTGTACCTGACATTCACGATGCACGCGAAAGTGTCCTTTGTGTTGGTATGTTTGTGTGCTGGAACTCTAATCATTGAGATTTAAGGATTGTTAAATCACAAACATATTTATGAGACTCAAGCTCACCTGAGATCTCTTATATTTGCTGACTGATAGCAATTATGAAGCAGTTCAGTTAATGTGTTGTGGCTTTTGTTCATCCATTCTATACAGGGTTGGTTTGCAGGAAGAAACCTAGCAGTGTCTCAAGTGATCACCAAGTATGTTCTGTGGGTGGATGATGACTTCATCTTCAGTCCAAACACTAAGTTGGAGAAGCTGGTGGACATCCTAGAGAAGACCTCTCTAGATCTGGTGAGATTCATCCCCAGATAGAATAGAGTGTATCTGCTGAGTTAATGGTGAAATCAATACTGCACTAAAGTCTGCTCCTGAGAGGATGAGGAGCGTGCCGTTGTGTCCATTGTGCCTGTAATGCTAAAGCAAGGCTCTTTTCAGCTGTAGTTCACTTCTCCTTAATTTGGCCAATTGCCAATTTTTTCATCACTTTTCCGTTTCAGTACAAACATTTGCATAAAGAAAATTAAACAATGTCAAGAAACAAAATTTTCCTGTTCTTAAACTCATTTCAATTTAAGGAGATCTATGCAGAAAAAACAGACACATACATAGATGCTGCAATGGCAACTTCTACCTGTTGACATAAAAACACAATTTCCAAACCTCTTTTTTGAAATTGCAATAACCAAGTTTTAATTAAAGATGCGTTGAAAAGAATGTTCACATTCTCAGTGTACATTGCAATTTTTCCCATCTGTATTATACAGCGGAACCTTTGTATCTTATAATTACATCTTAGTTCTTGTTTGCAAGTATCCACAGTCCTAACATTGCCACGTAACGACTGTAGGTTGGTGGTGCAGTGAGAGAGGTGACAGGTTACACTGCGACATATCGTCACACCATCTCAGTGGAGGAAGGAGGAGAGGAGGGCGACTGTTTGCACATCAGAAAAGGCTACCACCATGAAATCGAGGAATTTCCCAACTGTGTGGTTGCTGATGCTGTCATCAACTTCTTCATGGGCCGGACATACAAGGTGCAGCAGGTCGGCTTCAACCCCCGCTTGGCACGGAAGGCTCATCTGGGTGAGTCTATCTGTATGTAACTGCAGAGTTGCCTCAAATTAAAAAGCCAGAAAACTAAACATTCCTTTAATGCTGCAGAGTTCTTCATTGATGCTCTGGGCTCCCTCCACATCGGCTCCTGCAGCGACGTCATTGTAAACCACGCATCAAAGATCAAACTACCCTGGGGTGAAACAGACACACAAAAGGCCTACAAAAAGTTCCGTTACACCAACGTTGAAGACAGCCTTAAAAATGAAGATTTCTACTTCAAGAACAGGTTTCAGTGCATGACTAGTAACTGAAACTCCCATAGAGTCAATGATACAAACAACTGCAGCAACTATATCACACAAATTCAGTGCCTCCAGCTGCCAGACTGCACAGAACAGAACTCAGTCTGTATGTAATGTATTTTTCAATGTGTATATATGAGTATGAGTGTGTGTGTGTGTGTGTGTGNTGTGTGTGTGTGTGTGTGTGTGTGTGTGTACAAAATAAGTCAATATCGCAGTTTGGATATTCACCAAACTCGGTGAGAATATTACATGGGAGCGTATCTACGGATGATAAACGTACAGAGCTAACAGTCAAGGTGAACAGAGATATGTTGCAAAAAAAACACAAGCAAATAATAAGGCAACAGAGAATAAAAGTAGAGGTGTCATTGAATATATAGATACAACATAAAACTATATGGTGAATGCTCTGTATTTATGTCGTGGATTTTCAATGTATTGTTAACTGTGAGCTTGTATCCATTCCTAGGTGTCTTGTTGCCTTCATGAATTCATACGTACATATATGTACGTATGAATTCTTACAAACATAAGCACTGATCCAGTAATCATTATTTAGGCGTATAAATAATGATTTTGCAAACTTGGTGTCAAGATGTCATGAATGGGGCAGGAGGGTTTTCTGTGCTGCTGCTCGCTGGAATATTTATGATTTATTTACTTAAGATCATCTTGCTGCTTTGTAAATGTAGTAGTGTGTTCATTTTTCACCAGTCACAAATGTATGAGTTCAGTAAATATTTTCATGCATATGAAATATAAAATCATTTTCTCCATATCCAGACACTGTACCTATAATAATAAGGCTTCCTTTTTGCAGCTTTGATTTAAAACGTGTTACACTTGAATTTCCAACCATCAGGTATTCTTTCCGACCACTGTTTAATACTTTTTTTGAGACTCAAAAATATTGAGTGTGCATTTTCTTTGTTCTGAAGAAACAACTGCCCCCTGTAACCAATTGTGTGAAAAGTTGTTCAAGTCAAGACAACAATAGTAAATGTTTGATTGCACATTGTTACATTAAATATCTGACAATGCACTTTGACTTGAGTATTGACGATTTGAGTTTGTAACTTGGTGACAGTGACGTTACCTCAGGGTAAAGGACTTGCCATTCCACCATTTCACCACAAGATGGAAACAAAAGACCAAACAAAAATATCTCTAGATGAGTCACTTCTTGTACTGTTACCTAAATAAGTACTGGTAGGAGGAGGAGGAGGAGGAGGAGTAGAGGTATAGTAATAGTAGTTGTAGTAACATTTGAAACTATTAATGAGCAGTGTTAACAGTCTGCTCCTCCACATCTTTGTGTTGCTTTTTCCACATAAGTAACAGAAACAACTTGATGTCATAAAATCTATTAAAAAACATTGCTCCTCTTTGTTTGACGTCACAGGCACTGTGAAAGAAGTGTTATTTCCTTTCTTTCATTTGAATATGTTGATTTCTCCATTTGAACAGCCTTGTATGGGAACACATTTTCATAGGTAAATCAAAGCTTGTCATTAGATTGCTGACCTCCTTGGAGTCATTTGTGTTTGTGTTTGTGTGTGTGTGTGTGTGTGTGTGTGTGTGTGTGTGTGTGTGTGTGTGTGTGTGTGTGTGTTAGTAGGTCTGCCGGTAGAATCTGGCGTGGTAAACATTTGGCCAGAGCCTT